GCCTCCGCCCCGCCCCGCCCGGCGCCGCTCGGCCGGCCTTCCTCCTGGCTCGCCCGGTCCCCGCCGCTCGCGCCCGGAGAGACGGGAGAGAGGACTTCCTCCGCGGATGTGGCGCGCGGGCCTCCCCGCCTGGCGAGCTGCGGGTCCCGCGGGGCCTTGCTGCGAAGTGCGGCTGCGGCGCCCGCATCCTCCGGGGTCTTGCGGGAAATGCGCGCTCTCGAACTCACATCACCCTGCAAAAAAGCCACCTGCCCGCGCGTGTCCGTTGCAGCACTGTTCGCGATGGCAGGAGCACGGGACCAACCGTGCTGTCCGTCGAAACTGGACTGGATTTTTAAAAAAAATAAAATGTGGTCCGGGCAACCTCTTTCGGGTCCCCTCCCGCTGTGGAAGCTTTTCTGTCTTAATAAGTCCTACTTTCAAAAAAAGTGGTACAGATACACGATGGAATATTACGCAGCCGTGAAGAAGGACAACTATGTGGACTTCGCGGCCACTTGGCTGGATTCAGAGTCGATCATACTCAACGATCTAGCACAGAAACGAAGAACGGTCTCACTCATAAGTGGACCTTGAATATTCACCACAATACTCTAAGAAAGGGTTGCCAAAGTAGCAGGATACTACCGGGGTGGGGGTGGGGACACAGCCTCCACAAGGGCACCTGATCTCAAACCAGGCAAAGCGGGGCCCAAAGGGAGGCCCAGACTTCACCGGCATGATGGCCCCTTGTATACCTAATCCCGAATTGTACTCCACATCTTTACAATAAAATAATAATTTAAAAAGAGGCGGGGTCCCCACCCTCGAATATTTAAAACACACACATACACGAGATCTCCAGGTGACTCCTACGGGTGCATATTAATGATTGAAGAGCACCACCCTGTCAATGCACAGTTGTATCCGCTTCAGACCCTCTGTTGGGCCGCCAGCCTGGATCCATACCTAAACAAGCTTTACTCTTATTTCAGGAGACCACCAAGAGTTGCCAGCTCTGCCATCCCTGCAGCCTAGGAAAAGTAAATTGAATCAACAACGCAAAGAATCCACCTCGCAGTCTTATTTCGTATCTTCACCAGACACCTGAGACAGACTAACACCTGTCACCCCACTTCCCAGCCTCATAGTACTTTGGGGAGGCTAAACTGTTTGCAGCGCCAGCCCCGGTGGCTCAGGCCTGTAATCCAGCATGTTGGGAGGCGGAGGCAAGAGGATTGGTTGAGCCCAGGGTTTCCAGACCCACCAGCCTGGACGTCATAGTGAGACCTCATCTCTACAAAGAAATTAAAAAATTAGTCAGGCGTAGTGGCTCACACCTGGAGTCGCAGCTACTCAGGAGGCTGAGGGGGAAGGATTGCCTGTGTCCAGGAGGTCGAGGCTGTGAGCTGTGTTCGTACCACTGCACTCCAGCCTGAGCAACAGAGTGAGACCTCGACTCAAGAAAGGAAAAAGAAAAAAAAACTGCCTGCTATAATGTGGAGGTAGATCTTTGTGCCCAACATGCCAGGGGAGAAGATAGTGCTGGATAGAAGAAATATTACCTGGTCCATAAAACGTATACTCCTTATAAGATGGAAATGAAAGCCCTCCAGAAATGAATTTCTACCTACCTCTCCAGCCTTAACGCCAGCTAACTTGGTTCATTTCCCTATCCTAGAATTCAGTGCTCTCTGATGATCTAGAACCTATCCAAATTTGAGAGTGAACTGAAATCTTGCAGCCCAGAGTTCTCTCTCATCACTGGACTATTGCACACATTGTAGCTTGTTTGGGGGCCCTTAAGATACCATGTATTGCTAAGAATTTCAAAATGCATTTCGTCTTGGTTTCTGAACTAATACAAACACTTGTGACCTTAAGGACTTCATTGGATGAGTGGCCATCAAAATGGGCCCCTAGACCAGCACCATCAGCATCACCTGGCAACTTGTGAGAACTCCAGGTTCTCCATCCCCACTCCAGATCTATTTATTTGAAACTTTGGAGGCAGAACCCGGGAATCTATGTTCTAACAAGCCTCCCAGTTGATTCTAATACACACTCAAGTTTCAGAGTAACTGACCTAGGTTATTGTTTTATATCCCAGTGGTAGGGCTTGATGTGACCACATGGAGGTTTTATTGCCCTCTAGGTTAACATGCTCCTTCACTCAGTCAGGTTGGAAGGCTGGTCACAATTGCTTTGGAAAGAATTCTCCATAATCTTCTAATATATTTGATGCAATAGGATTTTCGTTACTTGGTTTGTTTGAAAAGAAGGAAATAATACCAATAAGGAGTCACTTGGAAGGAAAAGAAATATGGACTCCTCCCCTTAATCCAGCTACCTGAATTGTATAATATGTTGTTTC